CTGTTTCTGGGCTTTTTGCTTTAGAGAAGCGCGCGAAGGCGAGGGAGGTGGGAGTGGGGGCTCAGAGCGCGTTGGAGAACGGGGGGCGGGGGAAAGAAGGGGAGACTACGAATGCGCGAAGGTTGCTGGGGGATGTAGTTTCCTTTGAATGAGGGGGCATACAGTACTTCTTACCTCCAGGACTAAATCCCCTTGAAGAAAATTATAGCGAGAGGAGGGGGACTAGAGAGACAACTTCGGAAAAAAGTGACAAGCAGCTCATGACTGAGGCTGCAATGCACCTGAAAGCAACCTCTTTTGGTGAGCTTTTAACCACCACCCCCCAAAATAGCCACGCACAGGTTTTGCAACTTCATTGTATGGTTTCTAATACATCCTAGGCAAAGTATTAGCCCACCTTGGCTTGTCTGGGATGCTAAGCTGGGTCAGATGGAGAGTACCAGGAAATCACAGGACTGGAGACTAGGCTGGAAATTGGGGGGAAAAATTCCCAGAAGGCAGTCGTGGAAAATGGTTTCTGCATTATTACCTACATGGGCATGTCCATAAAGTCACTAGGAGCTCAACTCAAGGAGATAATCCTCTATGGCTTTGAAGGCTGCAGGCATATTGTATAATGGCGTGCAAAGAATCAATTCATTACATATACATATTGCAGTATAATTCAGGGCAAGCATTGGAGCAACACAATGCCAAGATGTATTTAGCTCCAGGGCACTGGTGCCCTTCAAGCAGATATGTTGCAATGTCACAGCCCTTCAAGAGAGAGAGAGAGAGAGAGGAGGCCATAAGGAGAGTCTTGCTGGATTTGGCCCCAACATGACTTACTGGGCATGTGTCCCATAGTGGGTGACCAGGTTTGTCTGGAAAACCTGCTAGCAAGACTAGGAGACTAATAGCCCTTTTCTGTGTTCGCTTCTTAGTTACTGGAGTTTATTTAGGGCCCATATATTCCAAATATATACCTCCCAAAATTAGTCATGAAGGGCCTAATGTTAGTCTAGTTCCTTTCTAAAGCTGTCAGAATCGTTGGCCATCACACTGGAAGGCAGAGTCGTGTCATTTTTCACCCTATGGAAGGAAGCCCTTCCTTTGGTCTGTGCCAAATAATGCCACCATTCACTTTTGTTTTACCTTCTTTCCTCTTCTCCCGGAAACCCCTCTGGGAGAGGAAAGCAATATCTAACGTCATTAAAATAAATAAAATGGATAAATAAGAGCTGAACCTGCTTCCCGACATTGCAGGAGGAGAGAGGTCTCCCCTCAGCTTTTTCTAGCTCTTTGCCAGAGATTATTGGATACTTTTGGCGCTGACGACAAGTTGTTATTCTTAGACTGACACCAAAAAGGAAAGCAATTCTGAATATATTTGGAGAGGATTCAGGGTAGGGTGTCTGTGTGAGCCCACCATAGGGCAGCTTGAATCATGCTCCAGCTTATATTATAAACAGACAGCTCAAATAATTAAATTTAGAGAGTGGTTTTCTCCATGAAGCTTAAGGCAGTTTGCTGTTCTGCTCTTCCCCTGTGTTATGCTGAGAGATAATAGGTGTAGCCTCAGGACTTGAAATGGAGTCTTCCTAAGAGTAGTCCTGCATGCTAACCAGTTGCACCACATTGTTCCTTCTGCAAGTCCTAAGCAGCTGAAAGATGTTAGGGGAAAGATAAGGAGATATGGCTTTTTTTTTTCCATATCTGTAGAAAACTTCCTGCGTGATGGCTCTCATACCCCAAAGCCAGCCAGCCACGTGCATTGGTTCTGCATAACATCCAATTTTGGCACATCACCCCAAGTATGCTTGTTTGAGGACACAAATTATTCCTCACTTTTACACACCCCTGGCCAGCAAAAAAGCCGCATCAGGCTGAGTAGCATGGAAGAAAGTCACGTTGGACGCTGATTCAGCCTTGCTTAACTCACGTGAGCCTCTGCTCTGCTGTTCGCATCTCAAGATCTAGCAGCAGCAGCCCTTCTGTTTATTGTCTGGCTTCCCCCACTCCTGCTGCGGTTTCAGCAGCAGGATGTGAACAAAAGACATTTTAAATACCGGCCTTTGGCTCAGATCAGCCCTCCACATCCCCTGTTTGAGGTAGGAAGTGGAAAGCGAAGCAACAGAAGGACAAAATAGAATTCGTAACAAACAAGCCTCTTCAGTATTACCCTTCTGAATCCATGTGATGTCAGTCAACCAGCAGTAGTAAATGCCCATCTGCATGTTGTATGGTTGATCACCCTTTCCCCAAAGCATTCAGCTTCTTACTCAGCAGTCATTGCTGCCTGCCACTTACATCTCATTGCTAACTGTGGGACAGAGGATTGATTGATTGATTGATTGATTGATTGAGTCCTCTCTTC